TTTTCTTTTTCTCTATCCAGAAATAATGGGTAAAAATAACTTCACCTATTTTGAAGAGTGAAGGTAAGAATAATTGAAATAAAGAATGTGCCACGAGAGTGAACAGCTAACTGCAGGCCTCCAGTCCTCTTGTTTATCTCTGTTGACGAGAAGCGAACACTAGAACATTCCACCTGTCACGTAGACCCACCGTCAAATTAATGGCCGGCCTTCCATATAAGGAGGCAGAATTCCTGCCCCAGAATCGATTTCGTCACCAACCTCTGTGTTGTCTAGTGTCCCTGATCCCTGTGGTGGCTTCTGTTTGTATTTGACAACTGCTTTTCCTGTCTCTTGGCCTGAATCCTAGATTTTGGTTTTGTCTCCGGCCTTTGAAAGGTGCTCTCAACCTTAGAGCAATTGATTGCTTACAAATGTGTTGAGTCTCTTTGGTTCTTGGTTTTTGTTCTCAGCCTGGATGATGACTCTGTTTTGTCCAAGATGAAAGTGAGCTTCAAGGGAAAACATGTGGAATGCTTCATTTGTAGGTTAATTAAGAATAAGCTGTTATCTATTGAAAATACTACATAATTTACTTTGCATGTGGAACTTCTTAAAAGCATATGCCTCAATCTTCCTCTAATGCTCCCCTCTTCTATTCCCAAGTTATTTAACGCACATTTGTAACTAAAGGCCTCAAGGAGAACATGTTTAAAATATAGCCAGAAAGGAATTTGCTCTAATTTTGAGGGTCCAGACTAGACAACCCAGAGGTATCTTATATTGCTCTCTCTTATTTATCACAGCATATTGCTAACCAAGTTTTGTCTATTCACCCTCTCCTTCCCATTGCTTTGATTGCTGCCCTAGTTCAGGCCCTGATCTCTCCCGTTGGGCTAATAAAAAGAGGTTCACATTTAGCTTTCCTTCCTCAATGATGGCTTCCTTTGGGTATTAAGGAGGGCACGAGTTGTGATGAGCACTGGGTGTTATATGCAACTAATGAATCATTGAACACTACATCAAAAACTAATGATGTGCTATATAGTGGCTAACTGAACATAATAAAAAAAAAAGAAAGTGTCTTCTACACTAAATCTAGAATTAACTTTTAAAACACAAAGTAATCATGTCACGTTCAGAAAGAAGCATGAGATGATGGAAATTCTTTGGAAACATAATACTTGGATTCAAATCTTGGCTCTGCTACTCACTAGTTATGTATACTTAGATAATTTTTTTCATGTTTTGTTTCTATATTTGTTGATAAATAAAATTACGTTAAGAGTGCTTACCTCAAAGAGTTTTGGTGTGGACTTAGCAAGTGATGTGTATCTAGCACAGTGCCTGGCTCATAGTAGACACTCCGAAAAAACAGCTGTGTCTTACTCCTTTGCTTAAAATTTCAGTGGTCACCTACCACATAAAAGATAAAATGTACATTCTTTGGAATGAACTATATCTCTTCTTAAAATCTGCCCTAAACTACCTTTTTAGTTTTCCCTCTTATTCTTTCCAGCCACAGTAAATAAATCACCATTACTGAACAGTGTTTTTTTTTCCTGATTTCCTGACTTTTTCACAGACTCTTCTGTGCACTGAAGTGTCCCCACTTTTCTTCTCCCTTGGTTAGGTTTTATTTAATCTTCAAGATTCATCGTAATTATCCTTTCCCTGTGGGGAAAAAAAATGGAGAAAATCAGCCAGCTAATATTATAACAAGTAGAAATGCATATTAAATATAGGACAATAGCAAATACTTTTCCTGGAGGAACAATCTAATGTCTAATGTATTATTATTTGAATAAGTGTTTTTGTTAAGAAAACTTGGAGTTAAAGAACTTTTTAGAAGTTGTACGTTTTTCACTTGAAAAGTGGGAAAGTTATTAGGCATCATGAGGTATGTCACCCTCATTTCTAACTTCTTAAATTCCTAGTTTTGTGTGATATACATATTAGAAATAATGTAAAATAAATCTGAGAAAAGGAAATTTGTTTTAATTTTTGTAATTAATGAGTTTTATTTTATTTATTTATTTTTAAAGATTTTATTTATTTATTTGAGAAAGAGAGAGAGAGCATGAGCAGGGGCAGAGGCAGAGGGAGAAGCAGACTCCCCACCAAGCAGGGAGCTCAATGTGGGGCTCGATGCCAGAACCCCAGGATCATGACCTGAGCTGAAGGCAGATGCTGAACTGACTGAGCCACCCAGGTGACCCTTTAATTAATGAGTTTTAAACCATACATATTGTTGACTGCCACTGCTTTAATATGACAATAGAACATAACCTGTGAGCTGAGACTCAGATCAAGCAGTTGGATTAGATTTCTTTAAATAGTAGGTGTCATTAGAGCCACTCACATTACTGTGAATGGCCTTATAAGACAGTCACACCATAGTAAAAAATGCCAATGAAAAGAAAGTTATCTTTTCAAGTATTTTTTTAATATATTGAATCTATGCTGTGATGATGCTTTTTAAATTTGTTTTTGTTTCTTTAAATGAAGAGGTGTCTTAGATGTTTGTTTTGACCATCTGTCCAAAAGTTGGATAGCTCTTTAACATGGCATCTTAACAAGACAAAGACCAGAAGCATTTACTTTATGACCAGTGTGTGTATTGGACAGTTGCAGTTCTCATGCCTTACAGTCTGAAGGGCCTGGACTGTGTAATGCGACAGTAGTCCTGGAAATAGAAGCAGAGTGTCTTGTGTTTATATGGACTCAGTTTATATCCATTAGACAGTGAAAATAACTACATAGTGGTGGAAGGTTTTTGAAAACCTTTGTGGAAGAGTTATTCTATCTGGGCCTTGAATAATTGGCTGGCTTTTGAAAACTGGATGGAGGTTAGGGAAAGGCATTTTAGATGGATTGTAGCCTGGATATAGTGAAGGCCAGGGCTCATTCAAGAAAAGGCAATTAATCCAGTGTGACATGAAGGTAAGAAAGTACCCAGAGAGGAGCAATGGGAATTATACCATCACAGTCTCACTGCAAGTGTTTTCAATTCCAGAAGGAGAGATTTGAACTTATTTTATATGTCATGGGATGTGACATGGTCAAATCTGTGCTTCAGAAAGTGATGTCTGTGGCTATTCAGAGGATGGATTGAAGAGAAGAGACTGGCAGAGGGGAAAACAAGTCACATGAATTAGCAAGCAGTGAGGGCCTACACCAAAGCAATGCTAATAGAGAAAGAACAAGTGATATGTCTCCTACACTCATTGATGGGAAAAGGAAGATTGACAGAACTCAGTGATGGAATGAGTAAGGGAGAGAAATACTTCATTATTACTATTGTTGTAAAACTGAACTCTTTTCCTAAGCTGCTCTTATTATACGACCTGCTAAACCATGAGATAAAGCTTAAGGTGGAGCCAATTTGGGTTCTAACCCATGGAAACTCAAGAATAATGCTTTTAAAATCTTATCTACATATTGCCCCATGCCTTTGCTGTGAGCTTGATGCCTGGATAAGCCCGTATTAAGAATATCCATGGTGTTTCACTATGCTGTGTGGATGGCTGATTATTCAACAAGATATGGGAAGATACAGCTATATAGGTTATGCTGGCATATGCATCATCTTGATTATTTTCCTGCTGTCTATAGGTGATCCCTATAGAGTAGTCTTATTTTCCTACTTACTTGACATGTAGAGGACTGTTGCAGACTTGAGTGATTTAGGAAATGTCTTCTGGTCAGTGGGGGGCAGTGTCGTACAGCAGAAAGAGGACAAATCGTGTCATCAGAGATTTGTGTGCAATCCCGGCGGCGTGACTGTCCCTTAATCCCAGGGTTCCCAGCCCTGAACTATCTTTAGAATCACCTGCGGTTTCTTTCCAAAATGTAGATTTTCATCCTCTATCCCTTCAAGATTCTGATTCAGTCAGTTTGGGATAAGGCCCTGAAAAAGGTGGGGTTCTGTTGTGGTGGTGGTTGTTTTTTAAACATCCTAAGCAATTTTGATAGCTAAATTTGGGAATTAGTGATTTGATGTGAGTTTCACCTTTCACAGGGTTGCTATGAACACTGAGTTTTATAAAGTTTAAATCACAATAAAATATCAATTGCTAATTAGATTACTTCTTGAAATAACTATTCCATCCCCTTTCTAAATACGTCTTCAATTTTTTATCAGTTTGAAGCTCTACTATATGAGAACATATTTGTTTGCTTTTTATGCATTGTGATAGCAAAGAGAAAACGAATAAACCCTGTCCAATAGATATATATAATACATAAGTATAGGATTAGTTTTAGATGTTGAAGAGATGATAGAAAGTAGAAGACCCGTGCTTGAATTTTTGTTAAATATGAGGAATAAATACCAGTTTCTAAAAAATGGCAAAGAAACATAAACAGAAATTGCTTCTATATATTTTTAATATAAAACTCATTTTTACTGACACTGTGATAATTTAATTTACAAATAAATTCTGACTTCCCAGTTTTAAGAGCAATAGCTTAAGTTAAATACACTGTTCTTTTCTTCTTCTCTTTCAAGCCAAAAACAAAAAATACAAAACACCAAAAAACCCTTGCAAGCATCAATAATAACAACGGTGGTTTCAAACACATATTTTCCAAACAGCCATTCAAGTTAAAGAGATCGCAGCAGTTCAATACAATCTCTATATAATAACATGTAGCATAAATATCAGTTGACCTTGAAGCTTATAGCATGTTTTAATTGGTTTCAAAACCTTTATTCACAGTTCCTGTGTAACTGGAGTTACCCGGCCTTCTCAGTTCTGAGGGATTTTCTGATATGTCCACTGTTATTTTACGACAGGACCACAGTATCTCCTTCCTTCTTCTGTCTCTCAGGTCTCATCTTGCTTATGTGACTTCAACCCTGAGCCTGGATAACTGCCATGTTAATCCATTTCGAGTTGTTTGCTCTTCCCCTGGGCCTGTGGAGTCACTCAAAGGCCAGATTGTTCACCCAGGGAGCCATAACTGGTACATTCCTCTGTCCTTGATACAATCTCTAGTTCTCTCCGGCCAGGAACTGATCACTTTAGACTATTAGCCTGAAGTTCGTTCAGAAGATTTAAGTACATATTTGATTTGAGAAACCTGGGATAGGAGTCCTTTTCCATAAGAGTATATATAATTTTTTGGGCTTCATCAAAACACGTGGGGGTTGGTGCTTTAATCTTCTTGGCTGTAGATTCTCGAGTGTGAAAGTCAATGTTGATCTAAAAAGAAATACTCGCTAATTAATACACACTTCCAAGGTACTGCACATTTTACTATGTGACTGTGTTTGTTGAAGCACCTCAAGATAATGGCATTAAGCCCTCATTTATAAAAGCTCAATTATCTTTTAAATGCCTCCTCCAAACCAGCTCTATAATAGATATGAAGGAGGTAAAAAGAAATATCACAAAAAAATCTTTGTTCCAGGTTGGCCCATTGTATAGTTGGGAGATGCAAAAGAGGCAAACATGAAAATTTTAAATATCCATACAAGGTGATACATGCATCAGAAAAAATGATGTGGTCATTTAAAATTTATAGGAGAGAGGACACTTTGTGTAGCTATTTTTTGCTTGATCAAGAATATTTAACTGGAAGGTGGGACTATTACTAACTGAAAATATTTCTGCTGCTGGAATTGTATGTATTACACTAATCCATATTTTATCCTAATGTAAAATGAGCTAACTCATTAAGGACATTCTGGCATGCAGTTCTGGCTAGTAACACTGCTACTCCTTACCTCATCCCTATTATGTTAGCTAATTTTGCAAAATCAATCTTTTCATTCTACTGTCTTCAGATACAGAAAATTAGATTATTATTGCACTGAACTATTGAACATACCTAAATATTTAGCGGTGAAATTATGATACTTAAGAAAGATCTAATCTTGCTATGACTGCGGAATGCTATTTCTGCACCTAAGTTCCTTTACACATAAACTGATGATAATGAAGATAATACTCACTTGTTTAGCAGCATCTGAATGTACAAATGCTTTATATATTTTCTCTGCTTTGCAATGCAAAAGATCAGACTCCGTTTTTTTATAGTCTTCACAAGCCAGCCAGAACTCAATGTTCTCCTCACTGAACTCAGACTTTAGGAAATTTCCAAAAACATCTTGACCAACTAAAAAGAAAGGGTGAGGGGTGAGATAATTAAATCAATTGAGCCAGTAAATGGATACTTTAAAAAAGAAATTTGCAAGAAAAATACTATTGTGTTGTCTAGGCTCAAAGGTAAGGGATGGCTAACACTGAAACAGCTGTGTTGTAAATCATAAAAATGGGAAGACCTCAGAGATTCCTTCACTGACAGTTTATCTGGGGCCAGACAAACCTGTCCACAGTCCCACAGCTGCTTAGTCATGGCTACACAACTGTGCTTTGCTTCCATCTGCTAATTAAGATTCTGCTCTTGTGATTACAAAACCATCTCTTCTCTTACAAATACAACTCCTAGCCAGACTGCAGAGTATTTTACGGAAGCAAACATTGATGAAGGTCATTAACATCATGTTCATTATCAACAAATACATTTTCCCCATCCAGTTCGTATTAGTCAGAAAATGTGCTGATGTACTGATTCTATTTGCTAGTGTTACTGAGGCTTTTAAATGCACCATTTCTATACCATTTATTTGTTTGGTTGGATGTAAACTAAGTCAGATGATGAGAGGGATGAACCACATTGTACTACTTGACACCCTCCCCCCCCAGCAAGGATTCTTAAGAGTGTTTGTTTGTGGGGAAAAAAGGATTAAGTTCATCCTCTAGATAGAGACCACACTGCTCAGCTCAACCTGATTGAGGTCCTAATCCCAAAGACTTGCAATTCCCATGATGAGGGAAAGGCGAGCTAATCTCATTCTTTACCTTCTCTTACCAGAAACTCCCTACAAGACTCTGCTTAAAAATTCTTTTTATCATATCTGCCTTATCATGTGTCATGTTATATATAATGCAATTATGTACTGTGTTTCTCAACTTCTTTCAAGGCAGCAAGGCACGGCGTCCTTGTTTTTGAATCCCTGGTGCTTCTAAAATGCCTGCCACATAGAAGTAGTTTAAATGAGTAAATGAATGAATGAATGAATAATAAAATAGTGAATTGACTGAATGAATCTTACTTCTTACATCCAGCAGTTACAAAAATACATTCTATAGATAGCTTTCAGAATGGCAGTTCACGCGTTGAGATATTTGGTTTACTTTTAGAAACTAAACTTGAAACTTCAGAACCCCAGCATAATTTTAAATTTTGCTCCCATAATGATCCATGGTAATACCTAATTGTCTCGGCAAATTTGCCTGAAGGACAGTGACAGGACTGAGTGCTAGGTCAGCATTACACTACAATGAGGCACAATATGCTGAAGCTATTAGTGACTACAGAAAAACTGGAATACAACTTTTCACACACTCTTCTATCCAGAATACTATATTTTAATGTGGTCATTCAATCTATTAGTGTATTGAGCTAAACCCAAAACCATTTAGTTGTTAATCATACTTACTTTGGTTTGCAAGTAGTTTTTCCAGAGATTGAGACCACTGCATTACTTCATTAATGGAGAGTCTGCTGGGGACAAAATTCACATAAATTAGTAAAATATTCTTGTGTGTGTGCAATCACACGTGAAATCAGAATGGCTGCTGTGTTTTGATAACTGCGTGAACTAAGATTCTAGTTCCATATATTTTCTTAAAATTTATCTATGAGAAAACAAAACTTCCTTTAGAATTACTATAGTTACGAAAATATCTTCCAATAAAATGTGAAGAAATGCAGATACATCTACTCTAACAGTGTAGCAAATAGCAAATTATGCACACACATGTTGGTACTTAATTTACATTGGTACTAATGTAGTCTACTCTTACTTGGCTTGTTACTTAAAAGAAACAAAGTCTAGTGTGTGCAGTATTAATCACTTGCTAGAATAGAGAGATAATGCATAGGCTGCTCTTAAAATGATAGTTCAGCATATTAGTATACATACATGTCTTTGGACTTAGAAGGTTTAATTCCAGGTTCCAGATGTGGGATCATAGATCTCAGGTACGCTTTCACATCCATTCTACTACAAAAGATACAAACATGAATATTTGCATTTCTTCAGTAGAATACATTTTATTTGCACAAGGAACGTGAAATAGACTTTTCCAAGGAACAAGGCAATAATAAAAATAGCTGTTACAACATTTTTCTATATTAAGATTGAGCTAATTTTTATAAGCCAAAGTCTGCAAAAATTTCCACATAATTTAATGCCCTATTGTGATTCATTTTTTAAATACAACTGAATATACTTATATACATATACAACAGCTAATCTCTGATTTAATTAACTAAATGCTCATATTTTCTTCCACTCGTTCTCAATCCTTCTGCCATGAAAGATAATCTAAGTCCAAATTCACAAAGTGAGACACCGAATGAACTTACAAAGTCTTTGGCCTCTTTTTATGCGTTTTATCATCTAGAAGTGAATGATCAGTTTCTTTCAATTCCTTTGGATTAGCAGAGAAGAACATTCCTGGCATTTTGTCTAACCTTGGCGCGGAGAAGGCTGCTCTTCGTATAGTCTTCACTCGGCAAATATCTGCTCGTCAACGTCTCTGCTGCTTTATATAGTAAAGGCAGACGGGCTCTTGCTGTTCAAATGAGTCTGTTTATCAAGTGATGTTACCACAGACACTGGAAGTTCCCTCTTTCTTGGTGTGTTATGACGTGTATCTTGAAAAAAAGAAGCATACAGTGATGTCTTGTGGTTGAAACTCAACCAAACGAGAATAGGTCACTTGATTAAAAAGAAAGAAAGAAAATTAAGCATACAGAGGCACACACATATACCACATGTCTAAAGTATTAGCAGCATCAGTCTTTGGTTTGAGGGGATGCTTGTTTCTTCATGAAGATTGCATATTTCAATAAAATATTTCATTTAGTGTACTTATTGTATCACACAGAAACTCAATATTAGAGATGTATCCCCTCAATTCTTTGAGTAATCCTTGATTATAAAATTCATCTGATCACAATATTTTTACTTTTTTATTTTTTTTAAGATTTTATTTATTTATTTGAGAGAGAGAGAGAGAGAGCAGGAGCGGGGGGGGGAGAAGCAGACTCCTCGCTGAGCAGGGAGCCGATGCAGGGCTCAATCCCAGGACCCTGGGATCATGACCTGAGTCAAAGGCAGACACTTAAACGACTGAACCACCCAGGCACCCTGATCACAATATTTTAAAAGAATTCTTTTTTTTCTTTCAGAAAGTAGTGTAAAGTAAATACATACTTTTTTGTTTGATTATTTGTGCATATATCTGGTAGGAAGGAGAGTTATGAGAAGTTATCTTAACTTTTCCCCACCCCACCTCCCATCCCTTACTTCCATGGCATGAAATTTCCATGTTAGTGTTTTCCAAAGTATGTGCTAGACCTTCTGCTGGTGATATACAAGATAACTTTAAGGGGCTCATGAATATTAATATTTACTAGGAATATAATTAATATATCAAACTGTGATTTTTTGTATATTACTGCTTAGGATAAGAATAAAGGAAAATTAAACAAAACTATAAATACATAAAAGTAGAGTTAACATAATAATATGATACAATATGTAAATATAATGACACTAAAGAATCACACAGTATCAAAAGAAAACTGCCCAAGATAAAATGAGAGTATATTTGGATAGGCCAATAATGTGTACTTCTTAGGTGATAGTTTTCCAAATTTTGGCATTATCTCTGGAGATAGCCAGTCTAGCTTTAATTAAGATTAAGGATTTACAAAACCACAATGAGATACCACCTCACACCAGTCAGAATGGCTAAAATTAATAAGTCAGGAAATGACAGATGTTCACAAGGATGCGGAGAAAAGGGAACCCTCTTACGCTGTTGGTGGGAATGTAAGCTGGTGCAGCCACTCTGGAAAACAGTATGGAGGATCCTCAGAAAGTTAAAAATAGAGCTACCTTATGACCCAGCAATTGCACTACTGGGTATTTATCCCAAAGATACAAATGTAGTGATCCGAAGGGGCACCTGTACCCCAATGTTTATAGCAGCAATGTCCACAATAGCCAAACCATGGAAGGAACCCAGATGTCCACTGGCAGATGAATGGATAAAAAAGATGTAGTATATATATACAATGGAACACTACTAAGCCATCAAAAAATGAAATCTTGCCATTTACCATGACATGGATGGAACTAGAGGGTATTATGCTAAGCGAAATCAGAGAAAGACAATTATCATATGATCTCACTTATATGTGGAATTTAAGAAACAAAACAAAAGATCATAGGGGAAGAGAGGAAAAAATAAAACAAGACAAAATCAGAAAGGGAGACAAACCATAAGAGACCTTAATCATAGGAAACAGGATGTTGGAGGGGAGGGGGCTGGGGGTCTGGGGTAACTGGGTGGTGGACATTAAGGAGGACACGTGGTGTAATAAGCACTGGGTATTATATAATACAGACGAATCACTGACCTCTACCTCTGAAACCAATAATACATTATATGTTTATTAATTGAATTTAAATAAAAAAAAAGTTTACCAAAATTCCCCCCCCAAGAAAGACTAAGGATTTAAAGAAAGCAAATGAACAAAAAAACACCCCCAAAACAAAACTTAAATCCAATGAATTAGGTGACTACTCACTGATGAAGGTAGAGGGGTTACTGCAATGTAAGCTTTTATAGTTTATCAATGAGTGTCCACTTTAACATAAACCTCCTTTGTTTTTTGTCCCTGAAAAGACAAAACAAATTTTATACAGAGAGGCTTCTGATGGTATTATGTAAAGTTGACAAGAAGAGGAGAGTAATACTTTTCAGTATTACTTCATGATAGAGTATTCTATCATCAAGATAAAAAATAATTGAAGAAATCACATTTGTAATATTTCAAAACTCACTTATTATACACTCACGTATATGTATATTACTCTGTATGTGCAAGCATCTTTTGATGTTTGCAAGATAACATGATGCAGAAAGAGAGCTTGTGAGATGAGCTAGCCACTTTGGAAGTGACCCAAACAAAATCTCTGCGGCTTAAAAACTGATGACAGAAGGGCATTTGTTTGTATATTTCTTGTGGTCCAGTCTATATTTACTTTTTTGTTAAAATCTTCAACATTGCTCATGTTGGTTTATCTGGTAGCCTCTCATTTCTTTAGATAATCGTGGGTACATTATATTAGAAAAACATAATTTAACATTTATTTTTAATGGCCCGCTATTATTGTTATCCAAATATGCTGACAATGTGCAGAGTATGTTTCTGCAACAATAGTTCCTTCAGAGGCAAATTAACAATATCAGGACAAAGCAGCAAAGGTTATGGGGCCATGTAAGTTTGGGAAATTAAGGTTAAGGTTCTTAAATTGGTTAAGGCAGATCTTCTGAGAGCCTTTAATGTGTTAACACACATGTGTCAATCTCTAAAAGGAGGGTAGAATATGTGGCAATTTCCTAACATTTTTGAGACATGAACGCTCATTAAGTAGAGAATGTAGTCTGCAGAAATAATATTCTTTGGATAGATTAGGAAACTCTGGTCTGAGATAGCGGTAAATATTCACATCATCTATTAATAATTCTTTTACACCTCTAATTTTTTGCTACCTAAATACTGACTTCCAAGTTCAAGCATTTGCAAGCGAGTACTTGCAGGTGATTGCATGCTTCCAAGCCCAAATAGAGAATTAAACTCCTGATAGAGGGGGTCCTGCTGAAATTCCTATGTCACAATTGACTGTTGAAGCCAACTCCATGGCACACTAATGTAGCCGCTCTCTCAAAGGCTGCTTGCTAGTACATGAAAAGCATGTATGTGCCAGAGCCAGGCAAATTTGGTGGGGCTGGATCAGCAAGGACTGATGAGTCCAGGGCAGGGCATTGGAAATTCTCTATGAATCTTACAGTGTCACTGTCTGGCCCCTCTTTGTGAAATTCATTAAGAAAAGACAAATGACAAAATAGTAACTTTACTGAATCTATCACTTTGGTTGAAACTGTAGAGGATTTGATAAAAGCCAATAGAAGAAACAGTGGCTCTCATAAACACAATCTTGTTTGTGTATTTCCTCTGTGAAACTGTGCATAAGTAATTATTGGAGTCATCAGAAAAGGGATATTGCATGTGATCTTAGTGTTATTTAAAAAAAATTAATAGACTTTAGTTTTAGAGCCGTTTAGGTTTACAGGAAAACTGAGAGGAAAGTACAGAGAGTTCCCACATACTCTCTCCAACTGGCCACAGCCTTCCCCACCATCAACATCCCGCATCAGTGTGGTATTATTTGCTGATGAACCTACGTTGACACATCATCATCACCCAAAGTCCTTAGTGTACATTATGGTTTCCTCTGATGGTGTGCATTCTATGGGTTTTGACAAATGTATAATGACACGTACCCACCATCACAGGATCATACAGAATAGTTTCCTTGCCTTAAGAATCCCAGTGTGATATTTTAAAATGTCTAGGAGATTTGTTCAATAAAACATTTCTGATTATGGCTATCAATTTCAATGGGGGAAATTTTAATTTTTGCTGAGTTGATTTTACATTTTGGTTTCAATTACTCCAGCTGCCTGAATCCTAGTAGGGAATGCTTTGCTATATGAATTTTTCAAACTTAATATTGATTAAACTGATTTTGAACCTTTGCTGAAATTTTGTTGTGGACATTAGGAATTATGGGAAAAAGGACATAATGAGTATGAGATTGTATCTTAAAAATGAAAATATATCTCTACCATTAAAGTCAGTGACATGAACAGAAATTTTAATTCATTAAAACAAAATGTCTCGAGGGGCCTCTGGATGGCTCAGTCGGTGAAGCCTCCGACTCTTCATTTAGGCTCAGGTCATGATCTCAGGGATAGAGGATTGAGCCCTGCATGGGGCTCTGTGCTGAGCCTGGAGCCTGTGTAAAAAAATTTCTCTCTCTCCCCCTCTGCCCCTCCCATCCTCTCCCCCCACCCCCTCAAGCACTCTGTCTCAAAAAAAAAAAAAAAAATTAAATTAAGTTTTAAAAAGTCCAGATTTAACAAACTTTACTTGCAGTCCTACAATGTATCCGATACAGGTACTGCAAATAGAAAGATGAATGAATCTCTCTCCTAAAGGGTTTACAGTATAGTAGGGCAAATGTATTTAAGCAAGTAGTCAAAGTGAAAAGTGCCAGCAGAGAGGAATGCATAAGAGGAGTGATTAACTCTGGATGCGTGGGACAGAAACAAAATGCTCTTTCCATTTACTGTAAAAACAGCATGTATCTCTTCTCTGCCTGTTTCTGCATTCCAGATCAACACCCCTTGGAAAGTATAAAAGGCTGCAATGGAGAAACTGGTCTTCAGCAAGTAGACACCTCTTACATGTATACAGATCATGGAAGAATGGATCCTCTATGTAAACACAAGGCTTTGCAGAATTTAAAAGTGGCTCTGAAAGACTTTGTTGAGTTAGCATAATCACTCAACCGTTCAGGAATTAAGACAAAGACTATTTTTTTCTCTATGTCTAGGTAGAGGGAAATAATCAAACATTTTAGACTTGCTTATGATT